AAATTCTCTAATTATATATGACCATTTGTTATATTTTTTAAATGTTAATATTTAATAATATTTAATTATAATTATAATTATAAATCTACGTAAAACAAAAAAGACACATGATTATAATAAAGGTAAGGAAGTTCACCAAAAAAAAATTTCTTATATAAATAATATTTATAACCACTTTAATAAAATCCTATAAAGATGAGTGAAAGAGACATGTGAGAAAAGTTTGGTATCGGTTAACCTTTAAACAGCTCTAAAGAAGCTTCAAATCATCGAAAATGAGAATGAGGCGTGCATTAGGGAGAAGGTGACCGTGGGATCAGGGCTTTATTGATGCTATTTATGAGGCAAGCCATGCTGCTAACATTTGTACGTAAGTGCCCCACCTCCTAACTCCCTCCCTTTTCATTTTGATAATGACACTTTTGGAAGGACATTTCATAAACTCGAGAACCTCAAATTTTGCACATACGCCCTTATACATTGATTATTGATTGAGGTCCTTATTACTAAGAAAATGTTTAATGAAGAATTTTTCCTAAATTATTTTACATTAAATCTTATGAGGATAAATTTAAATATTATTGAATCTAAATATTGGCTTTCTTAACACATACTACCTCCTGTCCTAATTATAAGAGCCAATTGACTAATTTGAAGAGATTAAGGAAGTAAGTTGAGTTAGTTATTTGTCCTAAATAAGTGTTGTCTTTCCTAAAATATCCTTGCTAATCAAGTATATTGACTAAAACTATCATTATTAGAAGGGCTACTTTGAAAAAAAAAGTATAAATATGAGAGATAAAGTGGATTGGGATCTTATATTTAGGATCAAAATAAAAGTCAAGCAGGGTCTTATATTAAGAACCGGTAGTATGAGTTTTTTTTTATTAACGTACAATATTTAAACTTAACATCTTGTATATATGAAAAATTCTACATGGCATTTCTACAATTCAGTCTGTTCCCTGTGTTCCTTATTTTCATGAGCTCCGTAGTTCCACTTCTCCCCCAATTTTCATCTCTGTTCTGAGTTCTTGGTGGGCTTTTGTGTCTTTCACCATGTAATGTGAAACCCACTGAGTTTATCATTTGTATAACCAGGTTAAAAGTTGAAAGATTGAATCCTAACTGAGACGGATAAAAAATTAATTATGTTAAGTATTTGTATTATTATAAATGACATGATCACTTTTTTTTTTTAAGAAAAAGATTTGAGATTATATGTTGAAACACAATATACAGCAGTTATCAGAAAAATAAATTTTTATGGAGCGTGAATTTTTTTATGCTGGACGAGGAAAGAAGTTTAATGATATGTTGGGACCATTTGATACAGTTTTCAAATGATGAAGATCTATTCATACGCTATATATTTGTTGTACAAGCATGTCGGGTTTTAAATTTGTGGCCGAAAGATCAAACCCTGATTCCCCAGTAAAGGGGCAATACTCCCTCCGTTCTTTATTATAAGAGACATTTGATGCTTATGGCATGTTCCTATATATAAGAGATACTTATAAGTTGTCTCTACTTTTTTATGTTGATTTACTATTTTACTCATATTTATTATCTCCAACTCACACTCTCTCTCCCTCCCACTTCTCTTTCTTTTAATAATTTAATTGTTCTCTCTCATGCTCTCTCTCCTTACTAATGAGGGTATTTTTAGAAAAAAAATTATACTTTTTACACATTAATTGTTCTTAACTAATTTTAACTTTTTTTTTATCAACGTACTTCGGTTATTTGTCTCTTATAATAAGAAACAGAGGGAGTAACAATTAATTCTGCCCTGGGCAGTGGGCACCACGTAATTGTAGTCTCATGTCTCTGTTTTTTTTTTTTTTTTGGGGTTGTGTTCAAATTATTTATAAATCTGATGAGCGTATGTGTGGGCGAAAGAATCTTCGATTAAATTAAGATAGATTCGTGAAATTAATTTCATCTGTTTTGTTGCAGTTATTTTATCTGAAATAACGTTAAAAATTAAAGATGAAGGCTATTTTTTCCGAAAATAAGGAGAGAGAAGAAAGCCAGTGGATATTATTTTCTTTTATTTGGGCTCCTCTACCTGGGGTTACCTTCCAAAACGTCTTTTGCCTCCAACTAACTTCTGAGGTTATAAAACTTTGGTTTTAGGCAAACTAAAACATGAACCAACAAATTCAAGCACGTAAACTCTCCAAACAAATGCAAATTCAAAGTAGTTCAGGCTCCGTTTTGTTACAAGCACAAGTTTTAGATGAATCATAAATCACACCCTAAAAGTTAGTTGTTAAATCAGTGCTTGTTTATAATCACAATTAGACGCTTCACAGACACTTATTTATGTAATTTGAAATAAAATTCTCCCCATATATTTATCTCATACTACTTCCGGTCCTTAATATAAGATCTAAATCTATTTTGTCTCTTATATTTACTCAATTTTTTTTCAAGATAGTCTTTCTAATAATCATACTTTTAGCCAACACACTTGATTAGTAATGATATTTTAAGAAAAACAACACCTATTCATTACAAATAACTAACTTAACTAAGTTCATTAATCTCTCCAAATTAGTTAATTGGATCTTATAATTAGTACCGGAGGTAGCACTTCGTAAATCATGACTAGAAAACTAATTTTAAAGAATTCTATTGTGATTCCAACCTAGCACAAAGTCTGACAGCTTAAAAGAGACAGGTATACAAAGTAAATATGTGAAGGAGTTTGTCTCGATTTGTTTATGTTACCCCAAACACCCCCGAATTCGGATGAAAGCTGATAATCCCAAGGTTCAGAGTTTGAGTGATTCTATGGAAAATTAGACATGTAGTGTTTTCACCTCTTGAAATTCGTAAATCACAAATTATAATAAAACCTATACATAGACAAAAATAAGACTAATGAGAAGGAAAAAGCAAAAAAAAAAAAAAACTTATTCACTGATGAAGAAGAAGAAGATACTGATACGTATATCACTGAAAAGGAAATACAACAAAGTGATGCCCCATAAAGTGGCACCTCCTCTATTCATAAACCGGAGGGCCATTGGGATAATCGAATTTAGAGCGTAGGGTTATGACTTACGAGCCTATTTTAATCGGAAGTAAACTGAGTTAGTTCCACTAAAATCTTGTTTTGATTACCCATTAATAAAATTAAACTTTTTTTCCCTATAATCATGACAGAAATTAATTGAATTTGAATTTCGAATGAGAGGAATATAATGATGGAAACAAGAGTGGCCGTGGAGGGGGAAGGTCACGTATGTTGTCGGCGAATCTAGTCCCGGCCTAGGGGAGTGGTCGATAATGTTTGGCACCGATTTAGGTCGCAATCACCTGCTTCGCTTACGCAGCGTGACGACTTGAATGTCGCCACGTGGTGACAGGACCAGCTTCTGGATCACGCATCGCATTTAATTGGCTCACAACAGCCAACAACCTACACCTTCATGTACGCCCGCCCTATTTACTTTCTCTTCTCCCGAAGTCTTGTTCGTGGCCAACAGTAATACTAGTACCACTACTGTCTGTAAATTGTATATAGCGTATAATCTTCTGGTAAAAATTAACGCTGCCTCCTGTTTTTAACAGGTTGAGATATATCTAGTATTTTAAAATTTTTTTATGTATATTTAGTATTTTAAAATATTTTTTGATATATCTAGTATCTTAAAATATTTTTTATATACGTTTAGTATCATAAAATATTTTTTTAGTACATCTAGCATCTCAAAATATTTTTTTAGGTGCATCTAGTATCTATAAATATTTTTTGGTACATCTAGCATTAAGGCAAATAAAATACTTGAGGGTGCTGGATGTCTTTAAAAAATACTTCGAAGTGTTGGATGTACCACAAAATACTTTAGGATGCTGGCTGTACCTAAGAAAATACTTCGGGATGTTGGATGCATCTTAACCCTTTTTAATATAAAAATTTATTTAATTTTTATTTTAATCTTAAGTACAAAATTTTAATAATTTAACAACTTTTTAACTTTAATCTTATTTAATATATATTATACTTCATATAAATAAAATCACTATAATAATAAATAAAGAATACAATTATGGTTGAAAGGGAGTTGGTTAGTTTTATAAATACATGTTGATTTTGTTCGGGAAGGATTTTGTTTACATACAAAAAATAAAAAGAGAAGATATATTAATTATGAGTAAAATGTCTAAACATGTATTTATTGCTCATACAAATCCAATATGAATCTACTAAAAGAAAAGGTAATACAAATTAATTCAAAGCTTTTGGATCTTATAAGTACTTCTGCTTTAATTTCCTACCTATTACTATTGCCTTTTACGCACTGCAACTAATATTTTAAAACTCGGAGCTAGAAATTTGAAATAAAGCAAAATAAATAACTCAAATAAACTATTAACATAAACTATAAAAATATAAGGAGTGTTTGGAAACACCCAGAAATACTTTTAAAAAAATATTTTTTTGTAAATCGAGATAAATTTTTTTCATATATTTACTTCGTATATTGTAAAATTATTTCTGAAATTATAATTTGATTGTAACCCAAACATCCGCTATAATCCAATTCAGGCATTTTTATTTTTAAATTGATGATAGATCGACTTTTGTACAAGTATATGTTTGGTTAGAAAAAAGTGAAAAATACATTAACCAATCAGACAAAAAAAGTGGTCTGCTTTAACATCACGTAACATATTCTAACTGTCTTAAAAACCAATATTTGAAACATTTAAATATTTATTTATAAAAACTAACCAGCTACCTTTAATGTTTTTTGCCAGAACCAACTAACTAATTGATTCAAGTAAGTTACCCCAAATTAATGCATATCCCCCACCCACTTTTTGGCCAGAAGTAAGTATTTTTTCTCTAATCGTAAACTCACAATCCATTCAAGTTTTCCGTTGCTTTTCTTTTTCTTTTTTAATTAAAAAAAACGAAATTCAAGGTCCCGTTGCCCAGAAGTTCTCTATATAAACCCACCCACCCCTCCACCATTCGGCACCAGAGCAAGCGAATCGCAAACCGCTCACACCAAAGCATTTTCAAGTTAAAAGTTTCTGCTTTCGAGTTTGAGTAATCAAAACAATGGCGGGTCTCATGAAGGTGGCATGCATGGTGGTGCTGTGTGTAGCCGTGATGGCCGCACCCATTGCCGAAGCCGTTACTTGCGGCCAGGTCACCACCAGCCTCGCACCATGCCTCACTTACCTCCAGAGGGGTGGCGCTCCGGCACCCGCCTGCTGCAATGGCGTCAGGAGTATCCTCGGCGCCGCTCAGACCACCGCCGACAAACAGACCGTCTGCAACTGCCTCAAGAGCGCGGCCGGCCAGATCCCCAATTTCAAAGACCAGAACGCTCAGTCTCTTCCGGCTCAATGCAAGGTCAACATCCCCTACAAGATCAGCACCTCCACCAACTGTGCCAGGTATCTCTCTCTCTCCATATATATATATGTGTGTATGTATATTCTGAAATGAAACGAATACATTTAATTTCTGGGAAGTGAGAGATTTGTTTTGCTGGAGCTGACATGGGTTTATTCTGGTGAATAATGCAGCATCAAGTTCTGAAGATGATGATAGCGTTCATAAATAAAGGAGGACCACCTTGATAGCTGCAGAGATCCATCCATGAGATGAGAGTCTATAGTTTTAAGTGTCCCCATGGTTTTATGTCTCCATGCTAATTAGTTTTTAATTAAGTGTACTTTGTGTCTGGTGATTAATTATGTGCGTCAGTTTCGGCTGTTTCATGTATTAATCACTGATTAATTCCATCGCACTTTGTTGTTTGTTTTTTTTCTTGTCTTTTCGTTTCTTAATGAACCTAATGATCGTGATGGGAGGGTGCCTACGTAATGAATATTTTCTTACATGGCAAATATATGGGCCAGAGAAGATTACTATTTCATGGGATTAAAGTAAAATGATTGTGACCTAATTTGTTAATTTGCTTTAGAACTTGACGTTGATATATAACGTATGTTGTCTAAAATAGAAAAACGATTTGACGTTGATTAACTGAGTCCTTAATTAATGCATGTAAATACTTATTTAATATAAATGAAGGATATAATTCTTTTAAAAAAAATTTCATTTGCTATATATATATATATATATATATATGTATGTATGCATGCATGCATGCTTCTTTTTTCGGCCGTTTCACTAGGGTTTACATTTAAAATCGGAGAAGAATGTTTATAAAATCTACTTTTAATTAAATTTTTTTATTTTATGATTGTAAAGAAACCACTGCTATGGAATTATACCTAAAACAGTTTGTACAAAATATTTTAGAATTATTATAAAATAGTACTTTTTCTGTTTTTTTATTGTAAGATCTAATTTTTTTAATAGGTTTGTTTTTTTATAAGATTTGTTTTTAAATTTGTCTGAACATTTAATACTTTTTCGGATCAAAATATAAACTAAACTTTTTTAAAAGGTTTTTTTTATAAGATAACATTTATTTTTGTCCAAACATTTAATAAGGTTTTTTTAAAAATTTTATTCCCATATATTTTCTTTCCTTTTTTTTTCATTTTTTATATCTTTTACGTATTCTCTTTATTAACGAGGGTATATTAGAAAAAATAAATATATACATTACACATTTATTGTTAAATTGATTTTAATTAGTTTCTTGATAGACGTAATAAATAAAATTTAGCTAATATTTTGAACCAGAGGGAATATATTATTACCTATTTTACCCATAATTTAATAGATTTAATACATTCTCTTTCTTCATTTACCTCATTATTATTTTTTCACATCTATCTATTTGTAATAAAATATATTTTAAAAAAATTATATTTACTATATATTAATTATTTTTAATTCATTTTAATTTTTTTCTTAAATCGTTTGATTTAGTTAAAAAGATTTTATAATAAATATAAACAGACAAAAGGTTGTCCTTCTTGATTTCTTCATCCGTTGTACAAAACGACGTAGTTTGGTTCGGGTGAAGTGAAAGGCGGGAAAGAGTTAAACAGATGGGGGATGCGACAGAATTAGCCTGAGCAGTGTACGGGGAACCTGGCCAATGAAAAGACAATTAACTGAGCACATTGAATTGCTTGTCCATCCATTCGAGAAAAGAAGAAATAACATTCGATGGGGACTGTTCGTTCTTTTTTTTTAAAAAAAAACTTCGAAAATTGTTCTTTCTTCAGGCCGAAAAAATACAATACATGTTTTAATAAGTTCCATTTATCAATTATTAACCAACTAGAATGTAATTATTAACAACTATTATGACATATACATGTACAACATATTATATATTTTCTTAGTATATTATAAAAATTTAATGCACGAGTTGTTAATACCTATCTCACTTCATTACACCTTATCAACTATTGAAGGATTCAATATAACATGGTTGTTTTTTCTTTTCAAAAAATAAAACTATGATTAAAGAGGTGTTTGGATATAAATAAAATCATGGTTTTAAAAATGGTACTCCTCCGGTCCTAATTATAAGACCCAATTGACTTATTTGAAGAGATTAAGGAAATAAGTTAAGTTAGTTATTTATAATAAATAAGTGTTGTTATTCCTAAAATATCTTTGCTAATTAAGTATATTGGCTAAAACTATCATTATTAGAAGGATTATCTTGGAAAAAAATGCATAAATATAAGAGAGAAAATGGATTGGGTCTTATAATTAGGACCAAATAAAAAGTCAAATTGGGTCTTATAATAAGAACCGGAGGAGTATTACGATACACGAAATAAATATGTAAAAGAGTTTGTCTTAATTTATAAAAAAAGTTTCTGAAAAATACTTTTGGAGTTACCCAAATACTCTAAATAAAGCACCATACCCCATCATAATCGGTACAAACTTAATTTGAGTTTGAAGGAAAATAATAATAACAAATAATCTGAAACAAATATATAAAAAAAATTATTTCGGTTTATGTAAAAATATTTTTTTAAAATGTTTTTAGTTGATACCAAATCAATTCAAAAGTTGAGGTGATGGGGAAAGAAATCCCCCCCACCCCCCGGGGAGATTAAGAACGAACTTAATATGAACGGGACAGCCCTTCAGGCAGCTTCAACGTCAGCCTTAACTAATAACTACTCCATCCATTCTTTATTATAAGAGACAAATAACCGAAGTACGTTGATAAAAAAAACAGTTAAAATTAGTTAAGAACAATTAATGTGTAAAAAGTATAATTTTTTTTTTCTAAAAATGCCCTCATTAATAAGGAGAGAGAGTATGAGAGAGAACAATTAAATTATTAAAAGAAAGAGAAGTAGGAGGGAGGGAAAGTGTGAGTTGGAGATAATAAATTTGGGTAAAATAGTAAATCAATACAAAAAAGTAGAGACAACTTATAAGTGTCTCTTATATATAGGAACATGTTATAAGCATCAAATGTCTCTTATAATAAGAAACGGAGGGAGTATTTAGCAATCAAGTTGTTTTGGGGGGGAAAAACTAGTTCATAGATGAAGAAGTTGCGTAAAGTACTCTATTAACACTGGGAGAGGGCGTAATAAACTGGGGGGCATTGGAACCTTTGGAGACTCGTAAACAGTACTACTCCGTTCCTAATTATAAAAACTTTTTGGTCAAATTGTGTTTTTTAAAAAAATAATTAAATTAGTTAAAAGTAATTAATATGTAATAAATATAATTTTTTTTTCAAATATACCCTTAACAAATATAAGAGAGTAATAATGAAATAAATAGAGAGAGAATGTATAAATAGAGAATTACATGAGAATTTATTAAAGGTAAAATAGATAATAATGTATTAAATATTTAGATAAACTCAAAAGAGACCGTGTAAAAAGAGACAAATTTATTAAAAAAAAATCTTATAATTAGATACGGAGGCGTTACCGAGTAAATTTCTTCAAACTGAATAATTGATGTGGTTATTAATTGAATTGAAATCAATTACAGCAGGTGCAGGTCAAAGATGGTCGGCCAATCCAAGTCAGGGAGGGGTGGATCATGTTGGGCACCGATTTTGGTCGCAATCCCCTGCTTTGGGTACTTTCATATCACGACTCGAATGCCGCCACGTGGTGACAGGACGAGACTGTGTGCCAGTCACCGCATTTAATTGGCTACAACAACCAACAACTTTCACCCATGTGCTGCGCTCTGCCCTCCCCGTCCTTTCGCTTCTTCTCTTCCCCGCTCCTCCTCTCCTGGTAAGTAGTGTCTTTTCCTTCTATTTCTTTCATAAAACAAAATCCCTTTTCTTTTTAATTTTATCACTTGAGTCAAAAATCAAATAATGTAACAAATCCACATTCATAGTTTCTTACGCCAAATAATATAATTCAAATTATGCTATAGAACCACTTTTAGTGCTCACTTTAATGATTTCAATGTTTATTAGATTTGAATGAATCATTCATATTTTATTTAGATGATTCAAAATTAATTTTTTTTATTTACTTATTTAAAATAATTATTTTAATATGTATAGAATCTAAAATAGAAATAATGTTTTATCTATCATTTTTTTTAAAAATAATTTTTTATTTAAAAATAAATAATTAAAAATTTTAAATTTAAACTGTTGAAATGAGACATAGGAGAGGATGCAGATTATTAAAACTGATTGCTTGTGTTATCACTTACTCAGCATTTTTTCCGGCCAGATTTTTTCATTAAAAATTAAAAATTAAAAGAAAGAAAGAAAGAAATTCTAGGCCCATGTCCCACAGAAGTTGTCTATATAAACCCTCCCACTCCGGCAGTATTGGGCACAGGGCAAGCAAATTGCAAATCACTCATATTACAGCATTTTGAAGTTATTACAAGTTTCTGCTTTCGAGTTTCAGTAGCGAAAACAATGGCGGGTCTCATGAAGGTGGCATGCATGATGGTGCTGTGTGTGGCCGTGGTGGCCGCACCCATTGCCGAAGCCGTCACTTGCGGCCAGGTCACCAGCAGCCTCGCACCATGCCTCACTTACCTCCAGAGGGGTGGCGCTCCCGCACCCGGCTGCTGCAATGGCGTCAGGACCCTCCTCGGCGCCGCTCAGACCACCGCCGACAAACAGACCGTCTGCAACTGCCTCAAGAACGCCGCCGGCCAGATCCCCGGACTCAACCCTCAGAATGCTCAGAACCTTCCTGCGCAATGCAAGGTCAACATCCCCTACAAGATCAGCACCTCCACCAACTGTGCCAGGTATATTTATATATATATGTCTATACATATGTGTGCGTTCTTCTTGTACATCATTATTATTTAGTGAAGCTGATGTTTTGATTATTTTGGTGAATGACGATGCAGCATCAGGTTCTGAAGATGATGAGAAGGCAACGGCGTTGAAGAATAAAGGAAGGATCACTTAGCTATATTTGTGGGAGTCTACTTTTAATTAAGTGTACTTTGTGTCAGTGGATTAATATGTGTGTCATTTTCGCTGGGTCATGTACTGATCACAAATCTTCAATTTCCATGGTAGTATTTTGATTATATATATAATCCTCTTTTTTTTTTTTCTTTTAAAATATTTGTTTACATAAAATACCTAAAAAGGTTTTCAAAAATATTTTAGGGTTATTATAAAATAATAAACATGAACAGGGAAAAGCTTGTCCTTCTTTGTTTCTGCGCTAATGGGCAAAACGACGTAGTTTCATTCAGGCGAAGTGAAAGGCGGGAAAGGGTAAAGCAGATGAGGGATGCGACAGAATTAGCCTGAGCCCTGAGCAGTGTACGGAGGCCCTGACCAATGAAAAAGACAATTGACTGATTGCATTAAATTGCTTGTCCATCGATTCGAGAAAAGAAGAAATAACATTGGAAAGGAAAATTGTTACATTTTTTTTTCTGCATAAAATAGAATACATGGTTTAACAAGTATGAAGCATCTTTAGCTAATATTTTTTCAAAGAGGTGTTGTGTGTTCCATGAATCTTGTTAGTTTCTCATTTGGGAAGATCTCAAAAATAACTATTAAATTTTAAAATTTCAAATCATAAATTATTATAAAAGTATATTGTTATTTGTTTTTTTAATATAGTCATGCTAATATAATAACCAATATAGATTTGAAATTTTAAAATTGAACAATCACTTTTTTAAGGTTTTATCTTCTCATTTAGCCATGTTCTTCTTATAACATCTTTTCATCTAAATTATGAATGTAAAAAAGTAAATTAATACATTCATTCTTTAATATGATAATTATTTTGTAGTTTAATTTAAAATATAAACTAAATCTTATGTTAAGAACTCAACAGAGCATATTGTTTTTTCTTTTCAAAAAATAAAACGATGATTAAATAAAGCACCATACCTAATCAGGTTGGTACAAACTTAAATTGAGTTGGAAGGAAAATAACAATAGCAAATCAACCTGCTTCTATTCCATTAGACACATGAATTTAGATGAAAATCAAATCATAATTTTATAATATATGAAATAAATATGTGAGGAAAGTTTTGTTGATGTAAAATCATTTTTCTAAATAGTTTTACTTGGTACCGAACATTTTTTTCGGTAAATACTATCTGTGATCCTTAATATGAGAGCTTGTTTGATTTTTATTTTGGTTCTAAATATAAAATCTCAATTCACTTTGTTCTTTATATTTATTTTTTAAAAGAAAAGATAATCCTTATAATTACGATAGTTTTACTCAATACATTCAATTAATAAGAATATTTTAGAAAAGATAACACATATTTATTATAAAAATACTAATTAAATTAAAATTTTTAATTTATTAAAATTAATTAATTAGTTTTTATATTAAAAATAGGAGCAAGAATAAAAGTTCATATGATAGGTAAAGAAGTTAATACGAAGGACACACCCCTTCAATATCTGCCTTAACTAACTACTCAAGAGAAGAAAAACTTGCTCATAGATGGAGAAGTTGAGTAAGGTAGTCTACCATGGTTGGGAGATGGCGTGATAAAGTGGTGGCGTTGGAATCATCGGAGACTCACAAACAGTATTTCATTACCGAGTACGAGTAAATTCCTTCAACTGAATAATTACTGTGGTAATATATATTGAACTGAAATCAATTAAAGGAGGTGAAGTTCAGCGACTACCGGCAAATTCAAGTTAGGGAGCGGTAGATAATGTTGGGCACCGATGCTGGTCGCAATCACCTGCTTCGCGTACTTCAATATCACGATTCGTATGCTGCCACGTGGTGACAGGACGAGACTGTGTATCAAAATTCGCACTTAATTGGCTTACAACCACCAACAACTTTTACCTATGCCCCGCGCGCCCGCCTCCTATCTATTCTTCTCTTTCCCCGCCCCCCCAGTACGGTCCCTCGCATCTCTTCCTCCTGTTTATGTTTTAAAAATTAAAAGAAGAAAAGAAATTCTAGGCCGAAGCCCCTGAGAAGTTCTCTATATAAACCCACCCACTCCTACACTATTGGGCACTGAGCAAGCAAATCTCAATTCACTCATATTACAGTATTTTAAAGTTTTATAAGTTTCTGCTTTCAAGTTTCAGTAGCGAAAACAATGGCGGGTCTCATAAAGGTGGCATGCATGGTGGTGCTGTGTGTGGCCCTGGTGGCCACACCCATTGCCGAAGCCATCACTTGCGGCCAGGTCACCACCAGCCTCGCACCATGCCTCTCTTACCTCCAGAGCGGTGGCGCTCCGGCACCCGCCTGCTGCAATGGAGTCAGGAGTCTCCTCAGCGCGGCTCAGACCACCGTCGACAAACAGACCGTCTGCAACTGCCTCAAGGGCGCCGCCGGCCAGCTCCCCGGACTCAACCCTCAGAATGCTCAGAACCTTCCTGCGCAATGCAAGGTCAACATCCCCTACAAGATCAGCACCTCCACCAACTGTGCCAAGTATCTCTCTCTCTCTCTGTATATGTAGCGCTTCTTGTTCATTATTATTATTATTATTATTTAGTGAAGCTGAAGTTTTGTTTATTTCGGTGAATGACGATGCAGCATCAGGTTCTGAAGATGATGAGAAGGCAATGGCGTTGAAGAATAAAGGAAGGACCACGTTGCTATATTATGGGAGTCTACTTTTGAAGTGTGTCCCCATGATTTTATGTCTCAATACATGTTAGTTTTAATTAAGTGTACTTTGTGTCAGTTGATTAGTATGTGTATCGGTATCGCTGTGTCATGTATTATTCACAAATCTTCAATTCCATGGTGCTACATTTGATTTTATATATAATATAATCCTCTTTCTTTTTTCATGTAATATAATCTTCAATTCTCTGAACTTTGGGAGTTCCGAGTTGAAACTGAGATCTGAATGTGCACGTTTAGTTTGCAATAGAAAGTAAATGAGAGTGACAAAAATAAGGAAAAAGAAAAATAAAATACAAAAGATTTGAAATACATGATTTTCTGTTTCCTATCTTAGATTTTCACTCTGCCAAACAGGCCATTTAAAAAAGACAATATTACCTCTGCTTCTAATTATAAAAATTTAACTTTTAATTTGATTTTAAATATAATATCTCAATCTATTTTATCTTTTATATTTATTTATTTTTTTAAAGTAGTCTTTATGACAGTTATATAAATTAAATATTTTATCAAATAATAATTCTAGTTAATATAAATTATTAGTAAATATATTTTAAAAAAAAGAACACATATTTATGACAAATAGGTGTTTACTTTCAAAGTAGTCAACACCTTCGTTCTTTACTATAAAAATTTATCTGATTTTCAATTTGCTCTTAAATATAAGATCCCAACCACTTTATCTTTCATATTTATATTTTTTTTCAAATTAGTCCTTCCAGTAGTTACACAATTAAATGATAACAGTAGTTACACAATTAAATAATAATTCTAGTTAATATATATAATTAATTAAGATATTTTAGAAAATACAATACCTATTTATAACAAATACCTAATTTAACTAATTTTTTTTAATCTTATCAAATTAATCAATTAAATCTTATATATACATATTTTCTTCTTGTCATTTAATTAAGTCTTATATTAAGTATATGGGATAGTAACATTTAAATAAAAAGCATGTTATGAACCGATTGGTGGAGAAAGGAGACGAGGGAGAACCTTATCTATCCTCCTCGATTAACGGGGGATGACGATAAGCGACGTACGGCTACGATTTATCCAAAGAAATACGAACGGACGTTGTTTTATTGGCCTGAAATGTACGGCGTCGATTTATTCACTATATCAAACAAAATGACGTGGGAGGTGTTCGGCCAACTCAAAAAATATGTTTTTGAAAAACATTTTTTCGTAAAATAAAACAAACTCTTTTATATATTTATTTTATATATCATAAAAATAATTTTAAAATTATAATTTAGTTTCTATTTAAATACTCGTAATTTTATTTACGTGCAGTGAAAGGCAGGGTGCCTCAGAATTAGCCTGAGCAGTAAAAAGGCAATAATGAACAGATTGCATTTATTAATTGCTTGTTATTTGTCAATCCATTCAGAAATAAATGAAAAAGTACTAATTTTCTCTTCAGAGCCTCTGGCTCCACCATCTTATATCGAGAACCTTAAAAATTTATTATAGTTAATTTCGCAGGTTATCTTGCTAATTTTGTGCTAATGGTTTTCTTTGTTTAAGGATTTTTCCATGTTTTATGATTTAGACCCCTAAAAAATTGTGCAGTGGCATTATTTAGGTTGTGATTAGTTTTAAATTTGACAGAACTATTATGTTTAGGAGGTATATTAGGAAAAAGTTGATAAACTGAAAATTGTTTGCGCAATAGATCTTTTATGTAAAACTGAGGTAGTGCTAAAAAAGACATAAATTTTATGATGTGATTTTTGTTATGTAAAAGTAGATTTATTAAAAATATATATATATATATAAATAATGTAAACTTTGATGTGTTGACTAAGAAATGTTAAGCACTCAAAAGGTTTTTAGGTCTAATATTATCCCAAAGATTTAAAATTATAACCAATTTTGACCCTTTACAATTAAAAATGTTAATAGTTAATATCAATATTTTAACTAATTTGTTAGTAGCAGGAGGCAAATTTGTTATATTTTCAAATTTTCATTATAATATTAAACCAAAAAAAAAAACCTTCTGGGTGTCTGATGCTCCCCAGCGACAATTTTCGGTACAAATTTGTATTCAGATCCAAAATTCTGAAACAGACAATTTTACCCCAGCAATCTCCGCTAAACAATTTTTTTTTTTTGCCTATCCAGTTTATCAGAATTTTGTTCTGACTACATCTGGATGGGTGAGTCTCCAAACGGGGATTTCTGCATATGTTAAGACTCGAACTCGAGACCTCGCTTAAGTGAAATCAAGCCGCTTATCACTTAGACCAGTCTCGTTGGTATCTCTGCTAAACAATTATGTGTTCTTTTAAGGGTAATATGGAATCCAGACTTACAAACTTGCATGTGCAAAAGCCGAAAGCCACTTCAACAGGAGGGGAGCAAAAGCCCATTTGGGTTGCCAAGCCGTTAGCGTTTTACCGTTTTAGGGTGGCAAAAGCTAACCAAACAAAAAGTTGGTTTTCCAAAAGTCTTTTTTTAGAAGTCCATTTGCTTTTATCTTGACATCACGTCACTTGCAAATGATACAATAAGTAAGTTATAACTAAAAAAATTGAATCTAACAGAAAAAACTAATCCCTTATAATATTGGTGAATCAAGATTTGAATCCTCGCTGAGAGAGGTGTCCACATTTAGTACCTGGCGATATTTTAAATAGGATTGTCTCTAACAAGAGGACACTTATATTTTAACAAAAAAAAAAGTTGGTTATATTTTGTTCAAGGCACGTGTGAGGGTTTCAAACGCCGTGGCAAACACGATCTTAATTTGAATTACATCAAACGTGGAAACGAAACACTCACTTATTTTTACAACTCTTTCACATTTCTTAGCAATTTTTTTCCCTAGATTTTTAAAGAAACTTTGTTTTTGTTCTTAATACCTTGACAAAACAATTGTGATAATTCACTGATTCTCAGTTTTGAGATTTTTTTCCCAATTACTAAAGTAGATTTCGCCAAAACATGCACTACTGCACAGATGTGGGGAAAAAAGATTAAATGCGAAGTTCTTGTAATTTTAATTTTATACTAGTATTAACACTGGTTTTTAACAAAAAAAGGCCTGTCATTTCATTAATCTCAGAGTACTGTATTTCTTATTTACTTAGAAATACCAATACTTTGTGTATGAACTTTATGTATCGGGTTTTGATCGTCAAGATCCATTTGAATTCTCACGGAAAAGGTGTTCACATTCAGTGTTTGACGGTGAATTTTTGATTTGTAAGTAACTAGTTCCTCATAAATAAATTTGCCTCTTATTTAAAAATAATAATATAATTTTAATAGTAAAAACTGATTTATAGCCTTGCTAGCCTTGAATCATTTTCCCGCTGCAAATATAATGGGCTCAGGTTTCTCTTTTTGTTCCATGATTGGCAACAGCTTAATGGATCTCCCACAAGACAATCGGCCCAAAAAGTAATTTCTTGGGCCTGAATGATGACGAGCCTAAAACTTACGACCCAACCCCCATTCTTTAATGTTCTCGAGTTTTTTTTCCCACTAGTGCCCTGCATAACACATTAATTTAAAGCCCCCACATGGGCTTTTTTCTTTCTTTTTTAAATACAAGATAACTTTGTCTAATTTTATAAGCATATATTTGTTGGCGTAGCAAGGACTAAATTGTTTAATTTCGGTATTGCTTATTTTGAAAAAAATAAAGATTATTGAAGTCTTTTGTGAAATAAAAAAGGAAATGAAAAAAGAATATGTTAAAAAAAATACTGTTTGGCATGAATATGGAGTATAAAAGAACAAAAATAATTCTTCAAAAGATAACTAGGTGTGATAGAAATAATAAATAATGAATAATTCAAATTAAAAGGAGGATGAAATGCCTTTGAGGAAGCCGTATAAGGCTAGAATTAGGACCAAAAGTGGTTAGCCCTTCCGTTGAATAAGTCTTTTCCGCTTGTGATTTGATGACCAACTCAAAAAGCCACCTACGAGCGCTTCATAGCCAATCTTTCTTGATAGTACTTACATCCTTTATTTTATTACTTTTGTTGGTTAATTTAATGATGGATTATATTTACCATTGGGCTAGATATTTTGAAAATGGTTGAGTGAATAAACTCCTAAGCACAATGTTGATGGAACCCAAAACTTACTTCAATTATGGGGATAAATGTGCAGTAAACATGACCTTAATTACCAATTGACCCCTTCTATGATTGACTCAATTCGATGTATTAGCAGAAATTTGGTAGGACTTTTGAAGATAGAGGAAAAAAGTGCATTGACGGAGCTTATCAATTTCCTTCATTTGGTTTTTACTTTTACATGTTATGATCTTTGATTCTTGTGTATGTAATACTCTACTATTCTTTTTTCTGTGGATGAATTTATCAGGGTAATTGATTAGAACGTCAACTTTTTCCATAATGAAAGTGATGGAATGTGCAATTTTTAAGTTTTCTTGGGCACAAGTTTCATACAAATGGTTAGGAAGAATGACTTACGCATTGTATGAGAAGAAATATTTGACACGGGGAAATATATGCTGCACCATTTGCCCTTGCAACCCAAACATTTGGCCACCAATAACCAAAATATGTAGCCTAAAAAAAAAATATTCATAAGCAAGCGATCTAATTTGGCCTTCTATACAAAATTTATGTATTACTACTTTATATTCTTCATATAAGATCCAGTTGATTAATTTGAGAAAATTAAAAAAATTATTAAATTATTTTACAGTATTTATATTTATCATTTTTATTCAAACTAATGTGCCTCACCTATAAATTAATATATAATCTAACGATACACATAAATATTTTAAAGAGATCATGTAAGATATGCTATAATTAAGTAATTCTTATAAGCTATTATTATTTTTTATAAGCATAATTAAGTAGTTTAATAATTTTTCTTAATTTTTTTAAATTAGTCAACTGGATCTTATATTACCTCCGATTCTTAATATAAGAGCTAGTTTGACATTTAATTTTTATCCTAAATATAAGATCCCAATCTATTTTGTCTTTTATATTTATTTATTTTTTCCTAAAATAATTCTTGTAGTAGTTGCATATGTTAAATGTTTTATCAAATAGTAATTCTAGCTAATATATATGATTAGTAATGATATTTTAGGTAGGACAATATCTAT